AAATATATGTATTTCGAGGATAATTCAGTATTTTTTTTATTGCAAAATATCGATAATTAAGGAAGATGTGAGTAATCTCCGAGAAGTAGTTTTTCTAGAAGCGTATTGCGGTGATCACTCTAGCTTTGAGCTGGTGTATCTGAAGTAAAAAAAACCGACAAATTTAGTTAATATATAAAATTATCTAATGCCCGATAGTTCATTTTTTTGAAAAATTAATTTGCGACAAAATGGCGACTGTTCAAATTCAAAGGTACGATTTTTCTACCAAAATTCGCTCGTTCTTTTATCAATAAAAAAATATGCAACAAAAAAAAGCAATGATCGGGCACTAGATTTTGGAGTATTAAAAAAGCCTACTAAATTTCATTTTGATTGATGCAGCGGTTCTCGAGATATTTTGGTCATCGATTTTAAAAATGCGATTTTGAGAAAAATGCGTTTGAAGTTTGCTAAGTGATTTTGAAAGGTGTCTCCTAAAATATATCTTAGGATCTCCCAAAAATCCCTAACAGCTAGAATCAAATCCCCTACATTTTCCCCCAATAGTTCGGACTGTACAAAATTAAAAAAAAAATACTCACGCAATTTCACATAAAATATCTGCTTCAAACATTCAAACCAGTATACCTTTAAACTCACATAACTTCGTCAATTTTTGTTGAATCGACTTGAAATTTACAGGGAATATTTTTGAAAGTATGTACTTTAAGAAAATATCAAAATCCAAAAATCGATTTTTTTTAAGTTTATGGGTAAGCATAACCCTGTAAAAAAGTAGACTTTGAGGTAGGGATGGGCGATGTTTCGTTGATTATAAAAAAATCGATGTTTTTGTCCATCCTATTGGATGGGCAAAAATATCGATTTTTGTATAATCAATGAAACATCGCCCATCCCTACTTTGAGGTCTCAAAAAATACAATATGTGCAGAAATTAAAGCATCACTTCTCACATCTTCGAAAAATGGGTAAACTTCAAAGGAGTGTAACTTCTACATTAATGGTCAAAATGAGATTTAAAAAAAGCATTTTGTAGCTTGAAATCTCTACTTTTCAAGTCTGTATAATGAAACAAAGATTTGGCTGATTTTTACGGAACTATATGATTATAAAGGAAGATCCGTAAAATCTCAAAATTTTTTCTAAACTTTGTAGTTTCATGCCGTGAATGAGGAGTCGAGCACAAATACAATTCACAGCTTCCGAAAGAGTGATCCTTTACCTTTAATTTACTTTTTTTTACATCTGTACGATTTTTTTTACCGTGTTATTCAACATTGAAGTAAAAATGGTCCCTTTGACTTTGACTGCTCATAAAAGACGAACGGAGCGAGATACAGCATTTTTAAAAAAAGCAAAAAAAGTTCAAAGTTTTCTCTTTAAGATGCTTTTATCAATTTTGAGACACAGATAAGCTTTTTATGTAAAAACTTAAGTGAAAAGTAAAGTTGAAAACTGAGACAATTATCTGTTTCTGTTCAACTCGATTTACTCTGATCAAAAAGAGAAAGAAACCCAATGATATTAACGTAATTTTACATTTTAAGGTCTATTGATTTCAACGAGACTCATACGAAACAGTTGCGACATTTTAAAATTAATGTCTTTCATGTTTGAAGTGACGATTTTGGGCAAGACGATATTTGATGATTTGAATTTAATCTTATATCGCAGCATGCGATCACACCGCAGATTGAGCGCCGTAATGTAAGTAAGTTGGCACGCTTGCCAGGCGATCTTCTCCAATCTTCACTACGCGTTACGGAGTACTTCAAATGTATTCCGTGCTCTAAGCAGTAAACACTTTTGATTTGTCTGACGAAGAGAAGCAAATTGGGAATACGATTGTTTCATACGTACTTATTGAAACACTGCTTTACGTTACGAACGTTTTATGTATTTAACGTATGTAAAAACATTTTGAATACCTGTTAGATTTATTAAATCTTTCTTTGTTATTTTAATCACATTATTTCTAGGATAATTTTTGTGAATTCTTGTGTATAATGCCGCGACAACGTCTTACTGAATATGATACAATACACATCGTCACACTGTTACAAGAAGGTCACAGTCAACGATATGTCGCATATTTAGTAGGAGTTAATCAATTTGTTGTTACTGGAATTTATTCTCGATTTCAAGATACTGGTAAATTTCATAGACGCCAAGGTCAGGGACGCCGTCGTGCGACTACTGAAAGAGTCGATAGAAATATTGTTAGACACGTTCTTCAAAATCGTACGATCACTGCAGATACTGCTAGCAGATACTGCTAGAGGATTTGTTAATCGAAGACAGTATCCTCGACATCCTATATCTGCAATAACAGTTAGAAATCGTTTAAGAGAAACTAATTTTCGCTTACGTCGGCCGGTGCGTGTACCTATGTTAAGTCGTCGTCACAAACATGCACGTTTAACATACGCACGTTTACATGTTAATTGGTACCAAGGAATTGGAACAATGTATTGTTCACTGATGAGTCACGATTTTCTTTGTACCGAATGATAGACGAATACAAGTATGGCGTCGTCGTGGACAGAGAAATGAAGAAAATTGCCGTATGCCAATTGGTAGTTTCTTTGGTGGTTCCGTTATGATATGGGCGGGTATATCTCGATTTACGCGCACTCCTCTTGTTATTATACCACCTCCTGGATTAACGTCTATATGATATATCAACGAAATATTACGTCCATATGTTCTTCCAATGCGTGATCGGATGGAGCACAGATTCATACTTATGCATGATAATGCCTGTTGCCATACTGCATTTATTACACAAACGTTTCTTAGAGAAAATCATGTTAACGTTTTGAACCACCCCCCGATGAACCCGGACCTCAACCCGATTGAGCATGTCTGGGATATGCTTGAACGTCGATTGCAACGACATTATTTACGAATACAAACATTAAAACAATTAATAGAAACACTCCGTCAAGTTTGACATCAAATTCCGCAAGCAGCGATCGGGCGGTGCATAAACATGCAAAAAACATTTAAGAGACGTAATTTATAATTGAGGCACCAATACCTCATATTAAAATTTAATTTTTTCATTTACACACACACACGCGTGCACATACGCAGGCATACATACACGCGCGCGCGCACACAAACGTAAGAAGCCTAAATCCGACTGTGCAACCTCCACGTGGTACGCTTCGGATAACGCTAATGCCAGTGATGTGATCGCATGCTGCGATATAAAATTAAATTCAAATCAGCACATGTCGCTTGCCCAAAATTGTACATGAAGGACATTAGTTTTAAAATATCGCAACTGTTTTGAATGAGTCTCGTTGAAATCAGTAGACCCTAAAGTGTAAAATTACGTTAATATCATAGGGTTTCTTTCTCTTTTTGATCAGAATAGATTGAGTTGAATAGAAACAGATAATTGTCTCAGTTTTTAACTTTACCTTTCACTTAAGTTTTTACATAAAAAGCTTGGCTGTGTCTAAAAATTTATAAAAGCATCTTAAAGAGAACACTTTGAACTTTTTTTTACTTTTTTTAAAAATGCTATACGTCACTCTGTTCGTCTTTTATGAGCAGTCAAAGTCAAAGGGACCATTTCTACTTCAATGTTGAATAATTCGTTAAAAAAACCTACAGAGGTAAAGAAACAAGTAAATTAAAGGTAAAGGATTACGCTTTCGAAAGCTGTGAATTGTATTTGTGCCCGACTTCTCATTCACGGCATGAAGCTCTGCAAAGTTTACAAAAAATTTTGAGATTTTATGGATCTTTCTTTATAATCGTGTAGTTCTGTAAAAATCATCCGAATTGTTATATTGTATTTCATTATACAGATTTGGAAAGTAGAGATTTCAAGCTACAAAATGCTTTTTTTAAAATCTCATTTTGACCATTTATGTAGAAGTTGCACTCTTTTGGAGTATATCTATTTTTCGAAAGTGTGAGAGGTGATGCTTTAATTTCTGCGCGTAGTGTAAGACATTGAAAAAAATTTTTTCCCTGTCGTAATATGTGCCCCTACGAATCGAACAACTTTTTGCTTTGTTATTTTCTCGTATTAAAAACAACAGAGATATTTAAATGGTCGAGTAGAGGAAACACCTTGTATAATATATATAGGGTAAAATCAGGGATTATGGCATAGGCTACTAATATGGAATAGTGGTTTATTTTTTAAACAAAACATTGCAATCTGGCGGCAGTCGCTGAAAGTTATTGCACTTGTTACCAAACATGTCATAACAAGCAATGAACTCGTTCCGACCAACCGTTTTGCTACAATTAACATTTATTCATTTTCGTTACGTAAGAAGATCCGGCAGCTTTTTCTAAAAATGTTCTCACAAACTGAAGGTAAGTTTTTTTAGTGCTTATATTGCACAGACGCTTTTAATAATGTTGCATGAACAACATTATGCAGATTAATTGCTATTTCAAACTTGTTTATTGCTACGGAAAGACTTTATTTGTCGTATGACGACATGCAGGTAATG